TTGAAGTTGAGGAATTAAGAAGTAGGATTAGGGAAAATGAGAATAGAAATAATTTTTGTAATATTTTGTAAATAGATAAATAATAATAAAAATAGAAATTTTAAATCTAATTCTAATAGTAATAAATAATAAAATTTGTGATAATTATAATAATAATATCATTGTAAAAAAAAATAAATGATAATAAAATAATAAATAATAAAGTAATAAAATATTTGAATAAATAATAATAATAAAATAATTACAACTTTCACCGACAATCACTTGAACCAACCGTTCTCAACCAACTCAAGTTGAAAATTCGAAGTCAGATGTCTAAAACTACCCAAGTTTCTTCTTTCAGTCACTGTTAACGAAGCCTTTAATGTGATACATCGAGGAGTGAGCGTTAAAAAAGCAGTTTTTAGGTTGGGTTAAGCCTTTTTTTCTCTTGGTGAACTTCCTTCTATATTCAACATCCAAGCCAGAAAGGTTTTTCTGGTAGTGATTAAACAAAAGAGAAACTGTGATAGCAAGGAAAGAAGAATAAGAAACAACTTGGAAAGCACTCACTATAGTAGAACCTCGCAAAAACTTCATATTCCCTCGCCGCTTTTTTTTATCAAAATTTTCAACAAAAAGTAAAGGATTTGGCTACCCCCCTCCAAAAGATCAGCAAAAGATTGGTATTGTTTACCACTTCTATTTTCAGAAAGTCTCGAGTTGCGATATGACAAATTAGGAAAATAACAAAACACGTGTGAGGAGGAAGTTTTGAGGCTAGAATTAAAACTAACGATCACATGTCGAGGCTTTGAAGTCGAATATTCTAGGACCCGATTTGAATTTTATATGAAAGTTGTAACTAGAACACTATATGAGATATGCAATATTCTGAAGTTATATGCATATAATTTTTAGCCTTTAGCACAGAATAAAGTGCACTTTAGTTTGTTTTTCTGTCAGATAGCTCTATATATAGATTTCTACAACTATGTAGATAGTTTTTTACCTGGTTAGCAGGTTTTTATATCTGTAAATAAGTTCTCTTGGATTTTATAATAGTCTTTTACTTCCTTTAAATTTGGTCATTTTCTTTTTTGTTAGTTTTTTTCTGTACTTACCCCATTTTCGTTTCTACACTTATCCAATTTTTTTTCTTTTTTACTTCTCTACGAGAAAGTGTTATCAGATTGGCAACACTCTATTATAGAGCAGTAATTCTGACAAGGGTGGTGAAACCATCTGTTGATACTGGGGATCAAATCCTCAAAAAGTTGAGGATCCTGATGGAGGAAAATATTCACTTAGACAGGTCGCTCCTGAGTCATACTCTAGCACTTAATTCTGGTAAGCTAGGATTAGGTTGCAATAATGAGATAGATCAAGAGATTCTTTATTTGGACAGGCACTAAATAGTTTATGGAAGATAATGTAGATTTAGCTAAATTGAATGTCCATTTGTATTCTATGGCCGATTTATAAAATAAAGAAAGGATCGTTGAAGTAAAAAAAAATAATAATAAAATAATAATAATTTTTTTTTTTTTTTTTTGAGTTGTTAAGGTTCGGGTAGTAAAGTTTCAATAACAACTTGAGGTTTCCAATGTTGTCGTTCATGATATCGAGCAAGTCTATCACTATTGTAATATTTTTGTAAGACTTGTCCTTTATCATTAATAAGTTGATAAGCACCATTTCCAAGTTTAGAATAGATAGTGAAAGGTTCTATTCTTTTATCTTCAAATTTTACAGAGCATGATGCTTCTATATCTTTTGTTAGATTCAAACTTTGTCTCCAACTTCAAATTCTTCTGGCCTTAGTCGCTTGTCATGTCTCTCTTTTTGTTTCTTTTGTGATTTTTTTGTGTTCTTCTTGGCTTGTTCTTGAGCTTCTGTTAACTTGTCTATAAGTTCAAAAGCTTGTGTTAAGAAACTATCTTCTAAGTCTATTTTTGTTTCTGTTTCTGTAGTAGGAAAAATTAACTCTATCGGCAGGATAGCTTGTCTTCCATATACCAACTGAAATGAAGTATATTCTGTAGTAGCATGCTTTTTGGTCTGGTAGACGAATAATACTGCATGCAAATTGAGGTTTCAGTTTTCTTTAGTTCCTACTTTTGCTAGTGATTTGCACAAAGTTCTATTTAGTCTTTCTACCATACCATTAGTTTGGGAATGATATGATGATGAAAACTTATGTTGCATAAGAAAGTTTTTATATAAAACTTTTATTACATCTCCTCTAAAATTTGATCCTTGGTCAGAGAGAATAATTTTGAGTATTCCATGGCGACATACAATCTCTTTAAAGATAAACTTTGCAAGAGTTAAGGCTCCTGTATCTGGTACAGCTTGGGCTTCTGGCCAACAGGTTAAATAATCTGTTGCAACAATAATGTACTGATTGTTGCGAGATGTTATTAGTAGAGGTCTTACCAAATCAATTCTAATTTTTTCAAAAGCTTGTTCTATTTTAATAGGATGTAATGGTTCTTTTCTTCTAGATGTGTCTCTTTTCTGACATTGTTCACAGGTCTTTACATATTCCTTAATGTCTCTATATATCTGATCCCAATAATATCTTTCTGCAATTTTATGGTACATAGCATCTATTCCCAAATGTCTAGCAGTAGGATGACTATACATCATATATAAGATAGAGTCTACTTCAGTCCATTTAATAACTCTAAATGGTTTGGCAGAGTCTTGTTTGTTTTTCTTGTACAAAAGTCTATCTTTAATCATAAAGTATTTAGCCTAATTTTGAAGTTGTTTCTGTTAATAAGTGGTAAAGTCAGAGGGTATATTATCAGAGTTTAAATAATTAAATAGATTTTGGTATTGATCTAAGTTTATTATTTAAATTCTGGCTAATCAGAGTCTTGAGAGAGCATCCACATTAGAGTGAATTCTACCCGGTTTATGTATAATAGTGAAGTTGTAAGGTTGTAGTTTCAAAATCCAGCGTCCAATTCTTCCTTTTGGTTTGACAGTTTTAAGCTATTTTAATGCAAGGTGGTCAGTTACAAGAGTAAATTCAGTAACTCCAAGATAGCTGTGAAAATGTTCAATAGCCCATACAATAGCAGCACATTCTAGCTTTATTGCAAAGTAATTTTGTTCTGCGGCTACTAGACTTTTACTAGCATAAGCAATAGGGTGTTCCTTTCCATCTTATCTTTTTGACTTAGAGTAGCTTCAAAGCTATGATAAAAAGCATCAGTAGCAAGAATAAACCTTTTGCAAAAATCAGGGTAAGCTAATATAGGTGCAATAGTTAGCTTTTCTTTAAGGATATCAAAGGCTTGTTGCTGTTTGCTTCTTCAATAATAGGTTCATCTTTGTGGAGAAGTTGGTTCAGAGGTCAAGCTATGGCAGAGAAATTTCATATAAATTGTCGATAGTATCCAACTAAACCAAGAAAAGATCATAGCTTGATAGTATTCTTTGGAGGTTGAATCTTCTGTACAGTTTCAATTTTTGAGGGGTTAGGGGCTATTTCTTTAGAGCTGATAATATGGCTAAGAAAAGGTAAGGACTTCATCTAAAAGTTACACTTTTCAAGGTTGAGCTTTAATCCAGCATCTCTTATTTGTTGAAACACAATTCTTAAATGTTTCAAATGATCCTCAAATGTTCAGGAGTATACATTGGTATCATCAAGATACACAACTACGAATTTCCAAGCAATTCCTTTATATACTTGGTCCATAAATTGTTAAAAAGTAGCAGAGGCATTACATAGTCCAAATGGCATTACATTGAACTCATATGTTTCATATTTTGTGATAAAAGCAGTTTTCTCTTTATCTTTAGAGTTCATCATGACTTGCAAGTATCCACTAGCTAAGTCTAAAGTTGAAAACCATTGAGATCCTAAAAGAGCATTCAGCATTTCTTAAATTCAGGGTAGAGGATAAGCATCCTTTTTAGTAATACTGTTAAGTTTTTTATAATCAATACAGAATCTTAACTTTCTATTCTTCTTTCGTACTAAGACAACAGGTGATGTCTAAGAGCTTTCTGAGGCTTGAATGATATTTCTGTCTATCATTCATTCAATTTCTTGCTTGATAAATTCTTGTTCATCAGGAGATACATTGTAAGGTCGTAACTTAATAGGTGGTACATCTTCTGTATAGATTTTATGTTTAACCTTGTCTGTTCTACCAAGTTCAATAATATCTTTAGCAAATAGGTCAGCAAATTCTTCTAGTAGAGCTTTGAATTGTTGTCCTTGATCATGTGTAAGGGGTTCTACATTTACAGTATCTGTCTTTTCTAAAATATATTCCTCATAGGGAATTAAAGTATCTATAGTATATACGAAGTTATGTTTAAGAGCATTAGCTTGCAAAGCCTGTTGCAAAGCTTCTGTTTCTATTGGTAATTCTTCTAAGTCTTCTAAGTCTTCAGGTAGTTTTTCATCTTGCCTAGGATAGCTTAAAAATTTTGCAGTGTAAAGGCTATACAAGCATAGTAATCAGCTCGTTCCTAATGATATTGAATTTGTTGTTAGAAAAATTCCATCATCTTTTCAAAATTTTCCTCTAAGTATTGGACTCTGGCTTCCAGTCAGTTAATAATCTGGTTTTTTTCTTCATCCTTCCTCTACTTAAAGATAGTGTCTTCACTTATCTCAAGCTGTTTTAAAGTAATAATATCATCATGGTGTATTACTTCTATATTCTGCTCTTCTAAAAGATTTGGCTTGTTCTGTTCCTGATAGCATTTATCACAGAGACCTTGATTCATTTCTAATTCAGTACATTGTTTAGCAAAAAGGTATTCTTAACAAAGAGCTACTTTTCCTTCAAAATTTTTTCTTAGATTTTCAATTGCTTTGCGAGTATCAAAGTCAGGTTGAAAAGTATTGAAGGATTCATTTAAGATTCATTGTAAAGTAACTTCTTCTTCTTCTGTAAGAGATACTTGTTCTGCTCGAAACAAAATAGTAATTTCCTCAGAGGTCCATCCTCGGTTATATCTATCATCTTTTTATTCTTTCATAGCTTCTTCTATAGTTCTGTAATCTTCAGCAAGCAAAACTTGCACTAAATGATAAATTTGGTCTTGGTTTAAATCATACTGGTGTCCAGCATTCCTGGTAGACTCAGTATAATGTCTAATTCTATTCCAAATTTCATAATTCGGATTATATTGGAGGTTTGTAAAGATTTTATAAGCATATATATGTTCTAATTCACAGAACCATAATTCTTCTCGTATGCTTTCTATGTTATGCATTCTTGATCTGGGTTTCTAAATATTACAAAGTTTGCATCGGACAAGGGTTCCTCTACCAAGTCCTGTTTGGTAATATTCTTGATTTCTGGGGTCTTTTGGGTCAAGGGCTTCATAATAAGTTTTGTAGCAAGCAGTACAAGCAAGTTTCTCTTTTAATTTATAAAGCTTGTCCAGCTGTTAAGGAGTGTAGTAATGGCAACAATGGTGAGTTCTTCTTTTACTGTAGTAGGCCATTCTTTGTTCTTCTACTTGATCTTTGTTATATTCACATTTAAAAGTAAGATTATCAAGTATGAGTTGGGCAAGAGGGCAATTGATTTCAATATAACCAAATTCATTACAACTATAGCATTGGTTGTCTAGACAATCTTTGAAAAGGTGAGTAGTCTGTCTACAAGTTCGACAACTATTTAAGCTTTCACGTTTATTTGGGCAGTTAATGAATACATGCTCAAATTAATTACAATAGTAGCATTAATTTCGGGGGCAGTCTTTGTATTGGTGGTTAGCTTGGCTACAGGTCTTGCATAAGGGTTTCCTTCATCGAGGTTGGTAGGTATTCCATCCTTGGTTTTCATCTTCTGAGGATGTAGAAAAAGCATAAGCTTATGAGGTGTTAAATATTCCTGCTCATATAATTCAAAGTCTTCTGGTTTGATACAAATTTGCTGCTTCTTCTTTGGCTGTTCTTGCTCATAAGAAGTGTCAAGAACAATTTTCTTTCCTTTTTAATAGAAAGTATATTGGCAAGTTTTCCAGTTATAATTAGCTTCTACTTTCTTAAACCAATCATTTCTAAGTAAAATAGAATATGAAGTAGCAGGCACTACTTCAACATCTAAGGGGATTAGTCACCTTGAATTCTAATAAGCAAATTTCTGATAATTTCTAGAGGTCTGGAGGTAGCACTGGTAGTAGCAACAATAAGACTCTTAGATGGCTCCTCAATCTTTAGTCCAAGTTTTTTTACAGTCTCATACTAACAAAAGCTCTACTGTCAATAATAGCAGGGTAGGTACGATCTTGGATATCGATATAGCATTTAACAGGAGTAATAGTATTAATAGGCTGGGGTTTGGTATTTTCTCAGTTGGTTTCAGTAATATAAGTGGTAAAAGCAGTTCTAATAAAATAGTTGTCCAACAATCTTTTCCAATTATTAGAATTAGAGGTAGGTTGCTTTTTAGCCATATTAACATTTCGATAGTAGGAGGATGGTAAACGATTTGACCTAGGTCTCCATCTTTCTTGGCTTCTTTTTTTGGATCTGTCTCTGTAATTTCTGTCACGAGATTGACTTCGGTCCCTATAATTTCTATCTCGTGATTGACTTCTATTACTGTTTCTTCTATTGTCATTATAGCAGTTATTGTTTCTTCTATTATTGTTATTGTTTCTCCTTCCATTGTACCTATTTCTTTGGTTATCGCTTCTTCTTTTTCTACAGTCGGCAATAAAATATTCTGGATTACCACAATAATAGCAAAGGGTTTTATTCTAGTTAGAGTTGTATTGACGAGAAGAACTAGACTCTCTTTCAGCTATATAGGTAGGCTTGGATTGTGGTTCTTGTTGTTGCTAAACCATATTAATGGCTAGTTTGTCAAAATGGCTAGTAAGATTATGAATAGCATCCATTACTAGATCTCTTGGTGAGACTATTAATCTTCCAGTTTCTCATTATTTAGTAGCAGCAATTGCATCATTCAAAGTTCCTGATGTTGATGCTTGAACAGGAATTGTATATTCTGATCACAATCCCTTGATAAAAAGTTAAACAATAAAGAAATTAGAGAAGGCATGGTCTGGATCTGGATTTACTTTCTTTTTCAATTTCTTAAACTGAGCAGTATAGGTATCTACAGTATTAGCTTCTTGTTTTAGGTTGAAAAATTCTTGTTGCTAGGCAGCTAATTTCTTGGAAGTTGTGAATTCCTTTAAAAACAATACTTTAAACTTGTTGTTATCTTCATGATCATTATAATCATACGTTTCAATTACACTCAGCTAGACCTTTTAGCTATTCTTCTGCATTATTTTGTATATAAGCTTTAGCAATAGCAAGTTTTCTTTCATCATCCCAATTATTAGCAGTAGCAGCTCATTCAAATTCATTAATCTAATCAACAGGGTCTTCAGTACCATCTCCTTTAAATAACTTAATTTTGATGAAAGATTTTTCTTCTTCTTCTCCTCTAAAAATAGCTTCAGCCAATCGAGTCATAGCAGTTGCAGCAGTTTGTAAATCAGCCATATGTTCTTCTTCATCAGTATCTGAACTATCTGATTCATAGAGAGGTGTTAAATTAGTTTGTTCTGGAAGGGGATCTTGTTCTAATATATCTCTTGATTCTGTTTGATCAAAATTTGTTTCTTCTTGGTTACGGTAAATAGGACTAGTTGTTATTCCAGAAAGTTGTGAGTAGACTAAAGAATAGGTTGGAGAATAAGTGGAGGATGAACTAGAAATTTCTGGATAAAGGCGATTTAGGCGTGGACTAGGTGTTTTAATATTAGAATAAAGAGGCTGATAGTCTTGGTCTAATGAAGTTGTAGAGGTAATGACTTCTTTTTCTGCAATATGTACTGATGCAGTTTCAACTATACTTGGAGTTTCTGTAATTACAGAATAAATATCGTTCTGATATGTTTCTGAAGTAGGTGAGGATGCAGTTTGACAAAGACTATAAAATACCAAAGTTTTATAGACCCTTTAGATAAATTTCAGTGAAAAAGTAGATGATAAAGAGGCTTCTTCTAGATTAACACTTTGAGTATCAGATGGGGTTAAAGATTCTTCCCTTCTTTCTGATTAAGTAGTTTGAGTAGAAGTTGCAGTAGAAGTAGATGCAATAACAGGTGTTTCTATTCTAATAATAGTATCAGGAGAAGATGGTGGTAAAATAGGTGTAGTGGTTTCTTCTGTATTTTGTTGTTCTTCGTCTGAGTATAATGTTTGAAGATAAAACTGAGCAGCAGTAGAGTTGTCAATAAAAATATCATAGTGGTTAATATAGGCACTTGAAGCTTTATTAAGATTATGAAAAGAGGTATGTTTTCATAAAATATATTGAGCAGTTGATTAAAGATTAGGTACAGCTTCTTTGTATTGGCAGCTAAAAATAATATTTCGAATAGCTAAATGGGCTTTGGCTCGATCAGTATTAACTAGCTGATAAAAACTAGAACTAGTAGTTTGACTATAGGTAGTAGTGTTATAAGCTTGAGAATACCAGTCCCAAAATTCTTTAAAGCATCTATGAAGAGTAAGTGTTATAGGATAGCACTGGGTACAAGTTAATCAGATGCAATAGTTTGAAGAACAGAAATAGCAAGAGAAGGGCTGTTGAGATGGGTTCGTCTATACTTTTGAATATTTTCTAGATGATAATGGATTAACAGATCTCCATAAAATAAATAAATCTTTATAAAAAAAATTAGTAATAACAATGATAAAACGATAGTGAAAAATAAAATAAAATAAAAATAAAATAAATCAAAGAAGGTTGCTAGCAGTAATGAAATGAAATAAAATTTGTGAATAAAACAAAAGAAAATAACTTGAGTAAAAATAACAAAATATAATTCCAAAATTTAAACAAAATACTTTGCTGAAACCTTAAAAAATTTAACAATACGATTATTATATTATTTTTATATTATTTATATATAATTGTTAGCA